TTTTTCCCCAACTCTGACCCCTCTGCTGCAAGTCCTTATGTCTCTGTGCTCCTTAAAGGAGCTCTCAAAGCCTGGCCACAGCGGTGACTCTTCTCGGCAGAATGAAGCAAGGGTGGGCATATATAAATTGTTTCAAAATGAACTACTTCCAACGTGGAACCAGACAAATGAGCCTTGACTTGAGGGGCCATCCTGTTATGTCCCATCACCTGAGGGATAGTGATCATCCCCCCTGTGAGCAGTGTTTTAGAACAACATGGAAGATAAACTGGGCTGGTAACTACTATATATAATCTTGCACACCACACCTGATGCGTTACTCTAAAGAGGATTTAGGTTTTTTCAGCTGAAGCTGTTCCAAATATACGTGTTTGTAGCTCAGTTTGGTTCATGAATGCTCTCAGAAAATCTTCTGTTCAGCTGGGGCTTTACGTATATCCTCAGATTTCCTTTGCATACCATGTAATGTGGAAGAAGATTCTGTTGTAATTAGATGATTAATAAAAGTAGCTCTGGAGCTTTAGTATTTTTAGACTTCTTCAATATGTGTGATTTAGTCCTGCCCGGCAGGCTGCTTACAGAGTGGGGACTGAAGTGTGGGAGACGCAGAAGATGAACTGGCTCTTGTATGGTTGCATGCTATGTAAAAAAGAGATGCTTCCATGTGAAGGCAAAGGAAGAAGAGGATTTTATACTGGGCAGAACTGGTAACTGGAATGGCGCCTGCAACACATACTTTCTATAGGTTTTTGTCCTTAAAGCTGCAGCCAGCTGTATGGAAGAACTCAGCATTCCCTTTAGATTGCTGCTTCTGGAGAAGCCGATCCCTGCTTCTGCCGTGTGCGCCTTGTTCCCATGACCTCGCTGACAAGGGCCTATTTATCAGTTCTCTGCAGATGGAAGAACGCTGGCTTGCCTTTCTGTGCGTGCCCAGCGGAGTCCTCCTCGGTGCTGCTCTTCGTAACCCAGCTGCCATCTAAGGCAACCCGGTCTCCTTTGTGAACGTGCCTTGTAACCTCCCAAGGCCCATACGTGGGACAAGGACCCCTCATGACAGACCCTAGAAACCGCCCAAACCACACAAAATACAAGGGCAATTTCCTTAGTAAGAAAAGAAACACTTTGCACAGTGACTCGGTGTATCTGATATGCAGGTATGAAAATAATGAAAAGTACTTGAAAGGAACGGGAATTCAGGCAGGAATTTGTAGAGTTGCAAGGTGCCGTTGTTGTGAAAGCCTGGCGGTTATGGTTATGAAGCAGGAGGCTGAGTCAACAAGATGAAGATCAAGTGGCTAAAGATGCAACTAGTTAATGTATTTTAGATACAATTCAACTTTGATACAGAAGGTGCAAAACCGCACTTTAAAATCGGATAGAAAAACTAGATGTCATATTTTCAAAGCTGGTGTGTTTCCCCAGTGTTAGGTGCGGCCTCCCTTCTCCTCAGAGTAATCCAGAATGCCTTCGGAAGGCTGAAAGCTGATTTTTTGCTTGTTAATTGAAGATTACTGTTTCTGGGCATATGCTGGTTTTTGTAGAAACTATAAAATGAGCCTTCCCAACCATTTATAAATTTGAAGAATAAAATAATTTTTAATGCAGGATGATAATAAGCACTTGAAATTTTGAAGATGCAGTTGTTAATGGGAAAGACCCCTTGGTTGATAGGCTTCAATTTAACAAAGCTCTTAAACAAAGACAGGAACGCTGAAGTGTGTGCTGCGTGTTTTCATCAGACACTCAGACAAATCTTAGCACAGCCAGAAGGTCTTTTCTCAGTTACATTTTTTTGGTAATCTACTCAGTTGAGTTTATTAGTATTTGCACAGACTTAAGCTGACTGTAACACAAACCATGCTAGGCCTGTACATATCATATCCCGTTGTGCAACGATAAATTAGATTTTACGGTGATTTTCCAAATTTCTGTGTCAACCTAAGCATGCGTTGGGATCAGGCTCTGTGAAGTTACACATCTCAGTGATCACAAACTTAAGCTTTTGACTGGCTTTTAGAATACCAATTTTAAGGAAACATTTAAAAAGTTAAGCTTCATTTAAACTGCTTGGCGCGTAACGTAAATGCATCATTAGGAACGGAGTAGGACTAACTTCATAAAATTCAACATTTTCTTTGAACTGTGCCAAATCACTTTGATTTTTGTGATTGATTACAAATTGTACAGGTGCGTACTGCACTAGAACATTGCTCAAGGAGCTATAGCATGAATTATATTCAAGGTAGGATGACTTTTACTCAATACGATGACAATATTCTCTTGTTTAATTTGTCTGATGGCAGTATTAAACATCAAATCAAGCTGTTTGTTATGTCAAAGGAGTGTGACGTATGGCAGAAATAAAATCCACTTGACGCCAGTTTTTCTGTATTTCATTGCTTTGACAGGCCATCATGATTGGAGATGATATTGTGAATGATGTAGGAGGTGCCCAGCGGTGCGGTATGAGAGCTCTGCAAGTGCGGACAGGGAAGTACAGGTCAGTGCACACCTTACACCCTGCACTCCCCGGGGGCAATCATGGAGAGAGGGGAAATAAACGCAAGTAATGATTTTTGTGTTTACCTTTTTGCCAAATGACACTGTGCTCTGATTTCCTTACAACACGTTAATTTCTAAGGAAAAGGAGTTGCAGTTTGGAACCTGGTACACATTCAAAGTGGATGTGCAAGAGCAGATTTTTTCCATGCCTTTTCCAAATCTTTTCCTGTTGGTGGCACAAATTTGCCATCAAGGTACACTTGCGCTTGTTGTCTGAACAAACACCTCCTTGTGCAGCACTTAGGCTTGGGGCAATGATGACATTTTCATTTGCAAAACGCATTTTGGGAAAACGCTGTGTGTATGAAAGTGGCAGGAAGGGGAAGACATACTGTCTTTGATCTTTTAAATAAATATTTTCTGTTAAATTACTGCTATAATTTTTTCATCACAGTGCATAGAACTGGTGTGTTTCTTGGGTTTTGCTTTTTTTTTTTTTTTTTTTGCTGCTGCATGAAAGTGTTGTACACTTGATATAAGACGTGTCTGAAACTTCTAGCAGGGTTAAGATTATAAAATTAGACTGTCTACTCAGTCATCTCTGTGGGTCATATCTCACAGCTTTATGAAGGACTCCATATGTCTACTATTTCTTCCAGACATGTATTCAGCACTGAGATGTCTGGAATGCGAGAGCTGTTTCTCCACTTCATAGAATCATAGAATTGTTTAGGTTGGAAAAGACCTTTAAGCTCATCAGGTCCAACCGTTAACCCAGCCCGGCCAAGCCCACCACTAAACCATGTCCCTAAGCACCACATCTCCCTGGCTTTTAAATACCTCCAGGGATGGGGACTCAGCCACTTCCCTGGGCAGCCTGTGCCAGTGCTTGACAACCCTTCCCATCTTAGCAGAGTGCAGGCTTCTGCAGGCTCAGTCACCCGTTTCAAATGACCCTTCAAGCCCTTCTCCATGCAGGTGTCTCCATGATCCTGTGCTTTCATTGACCCAAGAGCTGCCTCCCTGCCACTGCTGATAAGAGACCTGAGTGCAGTTATAAAAAGGCACAGTCCAGGGTTGACTGGTGGGAAATGAAGCCATCATCTGATGCTCAGGCCAGCTTAGGTTTGAGGTCAGCTCAAGGTCACTCTCCAAATGCAGTGCAGACATCGGTCCCTACATTTAACGTTTGGGTTCCATAACACTCAAAATCTCCTCTTAACCATAACCACGCCTCTTCGTAGGAGGCCTGGTTCAGCAACAGCATCTGTCATTTGACATAATTTATATTTTTACAGTCTTTCTTGATTTTCAAATACTGAGACTGTAAAAGAAGGGTGGTCTTTTGGGGAGGGATGCAACAAGTGAGAATAGTGCTTGCCATAGGCTATCTGAAAAGTTATTTTGTTAGTTTTCAAGTCAATCTGTTTCTTAATTTTCCTTTTAGTTTGTGTAAGGTGATAGAATAATACCCAGTGCCTTAATGCTAACGGACCAGTAAGTGATGATTTCTGAGAAAAAAAAAGACAGATACAAGTGTGCTGTAGTTAGGTATTCTTGCATCTTTAAGATAGTACATCTCAAAATGAGTTCTCTGAATAAAGCTCAAAAAATCCCAAAGATTTAAAAAGTAAGTCTATAGTTTGTGCTCTTGAGATTATTTGTCTGTAATCTGTCTAATCCCATTAATTTCCTAAAGGAGAAAATAAGGATTCAACGTTGATTTTAGTCTGGTATTAACGGGACCACTTTGTGAATCCACATCTTAATGTCACACAGATACGGGTGTCAGGCGGTATCTCTGCACACAGAGGTAAATCAGCCCTTTGCTCTGAACAAATACCTCCTGTGACATACTTTGCCCATCATAAAATATGGCACAGGAGATGCTGCATCTAAACTGTTCAGGCAGCTGACATAAACTGTATATACACACACACATAAATATGTATAATCAGATGCTGGAAAAACATTTTCTTGTTTCAAGTTTGAGTCATGATTTCACAGCTGAAAGAGTCATCAGCTGTTTGAGATGGGGGAAAAAGGTTGTTTTCCGCTGTTATGTTTCCTGTTTCAATGTGAGGTTGCTGTTACCTGAAATCTTGTACTATTGTATGGCAATGAAACACAGGTGAGTATCTCTCTGAATTGAGCATGTGGTCCTGTTTTTAGCAATTGTGAGTAAAATGAAACAGCTCTTGTTTGCCAAGAGAGGCCAGAGATGTATATATTTTTAAGAATGACTGATTTAGTATACGTGGAAAATGAAAACTCACAGTGAGTATTGAGAGAGACGGAAGAAAACAAGTGAACGAAAGGTGATGGGCAAAAGAAATTAAAAATAACAGAAAATGTAATTATTTCATAGCTGGTTTAAAGTCTGATATAGATAAGATTATGCATAGGTCCTCTCTTTCACTGATAAGGTAGTCATGCTGGCAGGGAGCTGTGTACTACGCCCAAGTACCTCTGGATGGCACCGTTAGTACATTTACTGCAGTATTAGCCACAGCTTCGCGACCTCCCCAGAAAGCTAAGGCTGTTTTTGCGAAAGAAGTGCAAAGCAGAAAGGCATCAGGGTTTTGCTGTAGACGCTGAGTGTTGGTGCGGTGGGATTTCCACAGATTTCAGTTACGAGAGTCTTGCAGCTTGGGACATGGGTCATCAGCCCTGTTGAGTTGTTGCTGTGTGTTCTACAGCCGTGAGTAGTTTTTTCCATTTCCACCACAACAATGGTGCCTCGCTTCAGCAAAATGGATGCAGAGCTGGTTTGAGAATAAAATAAAAAATGACAGAGGAACTGTCCCGAGGAATTGTTGGAGGTGCATTTCACAGCGTACTGCTGGATACGTGGAAATTGTTATTTGCACAAGTTATCCCAGTGAAGGCATTTTGCACGTTGTTCTGTAGGTCCAAGGGATCCTGTTGTACCCCTCTGGTCTCACCCTAATATTGTCCCCGACTGGCAGACGTTGTCGCCTCCGGTGCACCAAGGTGCGTCGGGGCAGCTCTCCTTATTTCAGGGGTCAGTGCAGTTTACATGAACATCTCTGAGGTGCCACCGAGGGTTATGCACCATAGCACAAAAGACGACACATGAGCCAAGGTTTACTGTACTGTTTGCTGTATTTCAAAGGGACTTCAGCGATCGCATGCAGATCGCAAGCTGCAAAGCAACTCGGTGGATCTTACTTGCTTTAATAAACTAGAAGAAAAAGTCGCCTTTGGCCCTGAAAGCCTTTTATGGAAAGAATTGGTTGATCTGCCGACGCGGAGGTTCCAGCAGCAGATAGGGGTGGACAGGTCTTCCGCGGGGCGGGCAGCCTCCAGCCGGGTAGAGGAAGCTGACTGCAGCCTGCAGCGTCACAGGAGCCTTCCTCCATGGTGGTGTTTGTGCCGTGTTGCTCGGTGACGGCAGTGGCGGGTGCCAGCTCCCCGCTGAACTGAGGAACTGGTTTTGTGAGTGCGGGGTGGGGGTGGTTGGCTTAGCAGGCAAGTCGAGGTCCAGAGGAGAAGCAGAAGGGGTGTGCGTGGCGAGGTGGCCTAGCCCAGGGCTGCCTCCCGCCCGGGGCTCTCACCCTGCTGGCCCCTGCAAGGTCTTCTTCCATGCTGGCTGCTCCCAGGGTGAGATTCAAAGTGTGGATTAAGCTGCTGCAAAAACATTCAGTTTGATACCACCCTGCATGGAGGTCCTGAAAATTAGCTCCTTTGTTTCACTTCTTCTGGATCTTTACAGTTTAGTAAAATTTGTGCAGCTGATTTCCTTTATTATGACAAACTTTGCATGTTCCTCATGCCTGAATCTGTACTTATCTTCTCCTCTAAAGCACTTAATCCTCAAGCAGGACTTAATCTCAAGTGTTGAGCTCTTTCTCAGTAGCCAAACCAGGCACGGCATAGATTAGTCCATGAACTGTGATAAATCCTAGCCGCAACATGGAATAAAATTTCTGTTGGCGCAAGTCAGGGCAATAATGGAAAGGTGTAGGGATAAGATGGTGTGTTGAGCTGACCTCAGCCAGCATGTTTCTCTGACACGGGGTGAGTAGTTGGGTTGGCCAGGTATAGCCTTTCTTAGGTATAAAATCCAAATGCAGGGGGTCAGTCTGGTCTGCAGGTTTGTCCACTCTCAGCTCAGGTCATTGCTGCAGATTCTCGTGTGCCAAGAGAAGCAGCTGGTGTTAGGTTTTTCAGCATTGGGAAATCTGATGCTAATTACAAAGTTTGTGTGCACACCTGTGGGGAGGCCCTTCATAGCCAACATCTTTCCCATCTAGGGAAGAACACGTTCTTGTCTTCCCGCACAGGGTATGTGCTAATTCCACTTGCAGCTAATTGGCCTTGACATCAAACCAATAATTTCCACAATAACTATTGATTCTGCAATGCTGCGTAATATCCTCGTTCCTCTTTGTAGCATGCAAGTTAGAGCAGAGAAAAATTGCTTTGAGGCTTTTCCAACTGTCTCCCTGTAAAATCGGAAACGGCTTTCAGGTGCGTCAGTGTGTCAGATTGCAGATGGTTCTTTGCAGGGTGGAAGAATTACTTACCCCTTTCTCCTTGTTGTTATTTACAGGTCTTGATTTGTAAATACAGAACTTTCCATTGCTGCCGTGTGGCAATAGCCAGGAATATTCATGGCAGTGGTACCCACTGCCCCTGCTCGCCTGCGGGCTCCGAAACGGTTTCAGAGTCTGGCAGTACGGGTTCATCCCCTCTCAGTGCCCACGCGAGGTTTTCTTTGTTTGATTAGGGATTTATCTCACAGCTACGGCTGGTACTGCAGCATCCCTCAGCTGCCTCGTTACGGACATAAAGGATACCCCAGGGATGGAGGATAAAAGGATCGAGGCCCGTGAGAGCTGCCGTCTCTCTCCAGCTCTGCCGCTGTTCTCCAGGAGAACTGGGTCAAGTTACTTCATGTTGCCATTCTTCAGTTTCCCCACTTTATAATTATCCTCTGAGAATAATTATCCTGACTTTCTTAATAAAGTGGCT